ACTAACAGTGGTGTCGCCGCCGGGAACGGAGGTCTGGTTGCCGCCCACCGGATTAACACCACCACCTGTCGCGCCGCCAGAGCCGGGAGATACGGGCGGCGCTCCGGATGAAGCTCCACCCGGAGGAGCAATGGTGGGCGGAGGCGGTACAGTGGCTGTCGCGGCGGCGCAACCAAACAGGTCGCCAACGTTTCCCTTCTTGACTTCTTTAATCGTTTTCACTCCCGTCTGGTCGAGCGATACGGTACTGATATTGTACTGACTGTCAAACATCTCAATGATAGTAAACTCCCAATTGTTGCCACTCTTGGCATAAGTGTCGGACAGAGTGAAGCCGGCGGTTACGTTTGAAAAGATTATCTCACAATCTTGACTGCTGTTCTTGTCGTGCGTCCAATCGATCTCATGTTGTGAACCATAACTGACGGGTTTACCGATTATGATGTGGCGCCGGATGTTCCAGTCTCCGGATACTCCGGTCGGTAATGGCTGTCCCGCCGGTAACTTATCTGTCCATTTGATTGGTTATAGAAATCGGATTTATAATGGATTTAAAATGGATTTTTTTCTCGTGAAATATTTACCGTAATAATAGACAAAATATCGTCTCTGAAGACCACTCGCACTATCGATGGGAGAGTTAATGATGGCCTGAATTCTGTTGTGGAGGTCCTCCTGAGGGAACTTCAGGAATAGTGTCATAATATTGTCCGGATCTTCGTTTGGCTTATATTTGTACAGATTTACGTTAACCCTATTGATAGGGTTTATAGACTCAATGGCGGCCGTTGTCGCCGGTATCTTATATGCGATCAATTGGTCGANAAACCCGACAAAGAAGACGACGGCGACGGAGAGGTCGTCGAAGAAGAAGAGGTCGGGAAGAAGACAATGAGTGGAAAAGGAAAGCCTGAGTTCATCGATGACATCAATGATGAAGTGCTACGGAAAGGATCGGCCGCTCATAGAGGTGTAAATAGTCGGCAATCAGTGACTGCGGAACCGTTCGGTAAGTCAGACGCCGAAGAGTTCAGGCGCCGACTCGAAGTGCACCCAAACGTGGAGTCATTGGTAGAGTCGGGTAAAGACACGGCCGGCGAAGATATTTTTGGAGATATAAAAGGAGATGTAGTTATCGAAGACATCACTGGAAAACCAGACACTGATGTCGACGACGGAGACGTTGAAGAAGAGAAGGAAAAGAAAACCGAAAGCGCTGTTCATAAGAATCATGGATCAGATAATCGCAAGAAAGTGAATCCTGAAGAGTCATTGGCTGACAAACTGGCCGCAGATTCAGACGCAGAAGAGTTCAGGAAACGACTCGAAGACGACCCGAATGTGGAATCATTGGTAGAATCGGGTAAAGACACGAGCGGTGGTGCGGAAGACGGCGACCCATTCAAAGATGATGTCGCGGATGTGGTCATCGAAGAGCTCACCGCAAAGCCCGACAGCGAAGACAATGACAACGACGGCGGCGGCGCTGAAGAGGATGAGAAGGATGTGGTTCTGCAGCAAAGCGGTGGCACTCCTCCGGCCATTTGCGGTCCCAATAATCTGCCGCAAGTCGTCGAAGCGTTTCGTATCGGAACCGCTAACGAAGTGATTCTGATCTCAAGCGATGGCTCGAAGAACACGTATTACGAGGCGAAGTACACGTATAAGGCGACAACGCACGAGCTCTCGTTCACAGACCTCACCGAACTTGATCCCAAATGGACACAAAACGCCGTCAACCAGACGGTAGTCAATATGGTTCGCGGTATAGGCCTATGGTTTCCTCTCGGCAATGATCTCTTGGCCGTCACTAACCAGAAGGTATGTCCTGAGCGCTGATCTTTCAGTCACATCTTTGACACCACATCTAAACACATGTTTGTTTGCCTTCCGCGGCCAACAGGAGGACGACATCGACCAATTGATCGCATATAAGATACCGGCGACAACGGCCGCCATTGAGTCTATAAACCCTATCAATAGGGTTAACGTAAATCTGTACAAATATAAGCCAAACGAAGATCCGGACAATATTATGACACTATTCCTAAAGTTCCCTCAGGAGGACCTCCACAACAGGATTCAGGCCATCATTAACTCCCCCATCGATAGTGCGAGTGGTCTTCAGAGACGATATTTTGTCTATTATTACGGTAAATATTTTACGAGAAAAAAATCCATTTTAAATCCATTATAAATCCGATTTCTATAACCAATCAAATGGACAGATAAGTTACCGGCGGGACAGCCATTGCCGACTGGAGCCGACGTTAAAGGCTGGAACATCCGGCGCCACATCATAATCGCTAAACCCGTCAGTTATGGTTCACAACATGAGATCGATTGGACGCACGACAAGAACAGCAGCAAAGATTGTGAGATAATCTTTTCAAACGTAACCGCCGGCTTCACTCTGTCCGACACTTATGTCAAGAGTGGCAACAATTGGGAGTTTACTATCATTGAGATGTTTGACAGTCAGTACAATATCAGTACCGTATCGCTTGACCAGACGGGAGTGAAAACGATTGTTAGTGCCAAGAAGGGAAAAGTTGGCGACCTGTTTGGTTGCGCCGCCGCGACAGCCACTGTACCGCCTCCGCCCACCATTGGTCCTCCGGGTGGAGCTTCATCCGGAGCGCCGCCCGTATCTCCCGGCTCTGGCGGCGCGACAGGTGGTGGTGTTAATCCGGTGGGCGGCAACCAGACCTCCGTTCCCGGCGGCGACACCACTGTTAGTGATGGCGGCGGTGGCGGCGGCGGAACCACTCCTCACGCGAAGCCGACCGGACCCTCTAAGAAGGAGTCGTCAAAAAACACTTTGTGGTGGATTCTGGGCCTATTGTTCCTCTTCATAGTACTGGTGCTGATATGCGTCTGTTGTTTCCTCATGTTTGAACCCTTCCGGGGGGCCGTCCTCTCAATGTTAGGTATGAAGAAAGAGCCGCCAAAGGGAGAGCCCGTGAGTGCGGCCAAGTCTATGAAACCGATCGCCGAAGAGGGAGTCGGCGCACAGCCATCGGGAGGCGCCGGACCAAGTGGTGAAGCGGTGCCCACCAGAAGCGCGTAATCGTTGAAATGGTCGCACCTTTTATACAATAAAGAAGAAGATGTGGTCTTCGAGTGATAATCAAAACCATCGCCCGATTGATTGCATTATATTATCGTTTATTCAATTCGTTTATCTTTTTGTTTTA